TGGTTCCCCAACATCTGATGTGGACCTTGTTAATCCAGGCGACGTCCAAGCCGGCATGACTTTCTTAGTTCGTGTCACTCTCATATTTTTGAGGTAGGTAGGTTAAAGCGTTAGGGGGTCTTTGCCCAAGGACCCGTACTGGTAAGGTAGGTACCAGCCAGGATTTGAACCCCGGTCTCCTGCATCAAAGGCGGTGTTCTAACCACTACGCTATCCAGCCGCTATACAATAAATAAATAAATAAATAAACTGGAATTAGTTGGGTTCATACATGAAAGACATGACTTACATGCCAAAATGTCTGATTAGCACAATGCGTTAAACCAAACCAGAGAAAGCACATTACAGTTCACCATGCTATGAAATCAAGCATAAATGTTAATCTCCTTTAGAGAGTAACAGTGAAGTCAGGCTGATTTATATTAACTGTTTATGCTAGACAGAGGGGCTCCATATGGAACATTGATGTGTGCCAAAATAATTGTGAGTTTCTAAGCCACTAGCCAAACCTATCTACCTGCATCAAATAAGATCCATTTCAACAAACCATTGTTGATGGACTATACAATTGCAAACTCCAGCCTGGCTTTTTGGTTTGTTTTTCAGAAGCTGGGTCTTCCTCAGTCTTCTACCACAGAGGCCACTTTCGGTCAGAAAGTGGTGAATGGAGGGACTTGATATTGTACCTTGTCTTGGAAGCCAGCCAGGATGTGTTTTGAAGTTTTCTTTGGTTCTTTCTCTAGCATTTGAACTATCCTTTTGTTCAATCTGGGGTCAATCTGCGGCCATATCCAGGGAAGTCAACTACAGTTCCATGGACCTTAAACTTCTTGGTAAGATTAGTAACCATGGTCACAGGTACATAAAGCTCATTGGAGATGGTTTTCTAGCCTTTCCCTTTACTATGCTTGGCTATTACTTTCTTCCTTTCCTTGTCAGATAACTCTCTGCTTTTCTTTCTCTTGTCCATGTTCGCTGTGCTGCACACAATGACACAAAATGCCTGAGTACTTTTCTCCATTCAAATAGGTTATGAGATTGGACACCAGTGATACTAATTAAAGATTCTGCTTGACAGACCACTAAAATCCATTAATTCTAATGGGTATTAATAATTATGTCCATGCCATTTTTATTTATTATTTACAAGAATATGTTAAGTCATACATCAAAAGCAAAGCATCTGCCCTAGGGACTATGGAATAAAGAATGGTCGATGCCATGTACTTGTATCAGCTTCAAGTTGTTTCATGGCAATTTGTGATTCTTTAGGAAAAGTGGTGGGGTACCAATAGTTTTGGCTGCATCTGTATATAGTGAAACTTTAATAAATGATTTTGGATCTTTTTGTAATGGATCTTTAAAAAAAAAAAAACTCCCAGCAACACTGGGAGAAGCAGTATCTGGAGAAATAGCTGCATGCATTTGCAAGATGAGTGTTTTCTAATTTGGCTTTTATGAAAGGATTTCTGTGTGATTTGATCACATCAGCTAATGTGTCCATATTATAGGATTATTCTACAATTTGTTACTTCCTCTCCTTTTCAAGCTCAACACAAATGCATCATCATGAAAAACGCAGCTGCAGTTTTCAACTGCTTTTTAATTTTGTTTTTAAAAAGTCTTCCCCCAAGATGGTATACAACACACTAAAATCTCAGTATAATCTTTAAAAAACAAAACCAACAGACAATACAGTTACAACAAAATCCTATGCATGTTTTACTCCAAAATACGGGTTCTTCCTCATAGCTGTGTTAATTGCATTCCTCCCCTCATTGAGTCAGCAGAAATTATACTACTACAAATTCAATTAGTTTTGCCACAGGAACAAAAATAACCAGTGATGCTGTCCTGATTTTAATGTGGGAAATTAAATGAAAGGGATTGGTGGGTTCCTCTGACTTTCTTTCCCTTCACTAAGCATCATCTATGGGTCGGAAAAAACACTAATTGCTCTCCTTAACATCTGCGGAAAAAGTCTGAGTGTAAGCAGATGCTCTTGTGGTAGGATTCAGCCACCTTTCAAACTGTCCAAGTCATGGGCCACAAGTGTGAAAAGTTTTTGTGTCTAATATTGGTGAAAACCACTAATTTTGGGTATAACATGATTTCAAGACACTACTGCAAAAATAAAACTATTGTGTATTTTGTATAGAAGCCCAAAAATCCTGCAATCTTCCGCCTAAATTCTCTGGATCTCAATAATTATCATTCATTTATAAAGCTATTTTCTTAGCTTAAATAAAATCACTCAACTAGAAATTTAGTGCATCTTATTGCTTTCTATAGTTTATTTCATTTAAAATTGTTCAGAACATTTTAAAATACAGGTAGTCCTTGTTTAGCGACAATTGGGACTGCAACTCGGTCACTAAGCGGAAAATCATGTGACTGCAACTGGGCTTATGATTTTGCAGTACAGGTAGCCCCCGGATTAAGAATGCCCGGGTTACAGATGACCCATAGTTAAGAAAAGAGCCTATTGTAGCAAACTTCAAGTTAAATATACAGTGATTTGAGTTAAATACACAATGGTTTGAGTTCATTACACAATACTACTTATACAATATTATACAATAATACTGTTCCAGCTTACATACAAATTCAATTTAAGGACACACCTTGGGAATGGAACTTGTCCTTAAACTGGGGTCTACCTATTTAAATATACAGTGATTTGAGTTAAATACACAATGGTTTGAGTTCATTACACAATACTACTTATACAATATTATACAATAATACTGTTCCAGCTTACATACAAATTCAATTTAAGGACACACCTTGGGAATGGAACTTGTCCTTAAACTGGGGTCTACCTATACTTCTCCTTCAGTTGTTAAGTGATATGAAATGATCACTAAGTGAAAAATCACGTGACTGAGACTTACAATTTTTCTTCCGTCTTCCATACTCATTTTCTTTTATCCTTCAATGAACTTAACATTTTTAACAAAATGAGTACAAAATCAGATTTTACAGTTATAGTACGGTACTTGTAAACATCAATGTAAGTCCTTCAAAAGATTACTGTAGTCTTTTTCTGTGTTTTTGGAAACGTTGGATATGGTGGCACAGTTGGCTGATGGCTGAGGATTGCCTGGGTCTTCTATTCCTATGGATGGGGAGGGTGATGGGGAAGGAAGTAAAGTTGAAGAAGGATTATCTTTCTTAAAAACCCCAGTAAGTTTGGTTTGCATGTTTTTTTTCTTTTTTTCTTCATATATTTCATGATAACACTTTAAGATTTCATGCATTTCCCGATGTACCTTTCCAAAACGTTCAACATTTGGATCCATACTTTCTAATTTTGATAAACTTTTGTTAATGTCTGAGAAAACACCAGCCAATGTTTTCACATTGAACTTTTTCGGCTGAACTTCTACAATATTTTCCTCCTCCTCTTCCTCTGGTTCTTCTTCTGGTTCTTCTTCTGGTTCCTCTTCCTCCTCCTCCTTTTCCTCCTCCTCCTCCTCCTCTTCTTCTTCATCCCCTTGTGCTTCCAATTCATCTTTCAGTTCAATTAAATCTTCATTTGAAAGCTCTCCCTCAGTGTAGGCTATCAAATTTTTCACATCTTCAGCATCGATCTCTAAATCAAGGGATTCCACGAGTGTCAAAATTTCCTTATTTATTTCATCCAAATCTTTGTTATGGTCAAATCCTTGAAAATTATTTACAAGAACAGCAAAACATTTTAAACACTTTTTCCAAATCCCTTGCATGCATTTTACAGTGACATCCTGCCATGCTGCTGCGATATTTTTGATGCAATGGAGGATATTGTAGCCTTTCCAAAACTCGCTCAATGTCACTTTCTTATCCTCTGTTGCAGCTATGGCTTTGGCAAACATTGCACGTAAATAGTATGCCTTAAATATTGTGATAGCTCCCTGGTCCATAGGCTGTAGGAGAGGGCTGGTGTTTTTGGGTAGATAAACTACCTTTACACCTGGGTAGAGATTGTCGAGATGCAGATGTCCAGGTTTGTTGTCAAGGAGCAGGAGAATGTTAAAAGGAATTCTGTTTTGTGAGCAATATTCCTTTACTTGGGGTATGAAACAATTCATACACCAATCCTCAAAGAGGACTTGTGTCATCCAAGCCTTCTGATTGGATCGGTAATAAACAGGCAGTGTGTGTTTGCATATGTTTTTGAATGCACGGTGGTTCTCCAATTTGTGGATCAGGAATGGCTTCAACTTGAATCCGGAGACATTTCCGCCCAGCAGCAAGGTTACTCTGTCCTTAAATGCTTTATATCCAGGCATTGCTTTGGCTTCTTTGTGTATGTAGGTCCGCTCTGGCATTTTTTTCCAGAATAACCAGGTTTCGTCCACACTGAATATCTGTTCAGGCAAATAGTTCCCTTTTGCAACAATATCATCAAATTCATCCAAAAAACGTTTGGCAGCTTCATCAGTGCTTGCAGCTTTACGTGATTTGCGTGTGCTGTGGTAATTAAATCTTCGCTGAAACCGCATAAACCAGCCACGGCTGGCAGTGAAGGTTTCGGTGCACCCCTCACCTGCTCGTCCCTTCAGTGTTTCAAAAATGCTGCGTGCCTTAGCCTGAATGAGAAGAAGGCTAACCGGCATCCTCTTTTGCATCTGATCTTCGATCCAAAGTATAAGGAGTTTTTCCATTTCGTGGATGAGCCCTTTTCGCTGTCTTGTTATAACTACTTTCATTCCTGGTGATCCTTTCATTGCCTCTCTGATCCTTTCCTTATCCTTCAAAATAGAGGAGATGGTGGAATGGGCCAGCCCTTCTTCTTGCGCTATAATATTCACCTTCTTTCCAGCATCATACGCTTTGATGATCTTCATCTTCAAATCAAGATCAATGGCTTTCCTTTGCTTCTTGCTTCTTTCTTCTGCTGAACTGGGGCTCTTTCTCTTTGAAGACATCGCAAGTGAAAATAAGAGCTGGTTGCAAAGTACTGTAGATAGATAGAGAGAGATGGAGAGATAGAGAGATACTCAAAAAAATAGTTTAACTGGTTCAGAACAGTTTATCTTCAGTGTTGGGGGGGGGAGGCAGTAGTATTAAGAATGTGTTTTCTTTGTCTGCTAAAGATTTCATTCCCTAGACAAAAGCGTGCTAGCAGCAACATGTTTTAAATTCTTTTATTTACTATATTAATATTTGTTTATACAGTCTGTATTTGTTTCCCCCCTTCTTCATGGTCATTTTTTTTATTAGTGTACAGTACAGCATGTGCAAGACTGAATCTGATTCTTGACAACTGGCGAGAGTGAACTGTGAAGGTTGGACTCTACATATGGTCCATTTGTGAGGAAAAGCCAGGGTTCACAGGAAGTCATAAAAATAGTTTGCAAAGTTGAAGATCAGGAGTTTAGAGAACAGATAGACAATAACTCATATAGCAATATTGCTTCACCAGTATTTTATCCTTGGTCTCTGCCATCTGCATAATCCAGTTTTTCTCTCTCACACACACAAATCGTTGTCACACATGGAGATAAAAGTGCACATCAGAGAATATATAGCCCCCTACTTCCTTCCAGCAGAAGCAACAAAAAAGAAGTTGGGAAAAGGGTAGTTACATTGGGAAGGAAAGAGGGAAGAAAACTAGATTGAGATGAGGCAAGGAGTAGAAAGAAAGAAAGAAAACATCCCTATTGAAGAGACAGGTTAATTCTTTCTGGATTCAGCTGTCTGAAGAAAGCAGGATTTTTTACTGTTTTGCAGTAATCAAACTTGAAAAACTTTTATTACTCCAACGTATGGTGTCTTCATAGAGATAAAATTTAGATATCCCACCTGCAACTTAAATGTAGAAACTGCCTGAACATGTGCACATTCATAGGCAGATATCAATGAATACAGTATGTACAGGTAGCTCTCATTTACCAACTGTTTTGTGTAGCAACCATTCAAAGTTACAACAATGCTAAAAATATAACATTTATGACCAATCCTCGCATTTACGATGGTCACAGCATCCCTCACTCACATGATCGCCATTCATGTACTTAGCAACCGGCACACAATGACTGAGGAATGCTGTGACTGTCGTAAATGCATACCTTGGTTGCAAAGTTATTTTTTTTAGCACCGTGGTAACTTTCAAGGGTCTCAGCACAATGCAGTTGGTAAGCAAGGACTACCTGTATATTGTCTGGAACAATACCTCAGGAGTTATAGAAATACTGTAAATAAATAAAAATATTCATGGCTGTGAAATGTGACCTATTTTTAAAATTTATTTATTTTACATAACAACGAGCACAACATTACTCTGCCGGCGTGCATCCTATGCCCCCATTTGCCAGGACGAGATTAAGAAAGTGCCCACGTCAACTCCTCGAGAGAAAAAAAAATCAGGCAACAATCATGTAAAAATAAATAATGCGTGCTTCTCCAGCCAAATATCTACAGTCCTGCTCCACTCAGCCGCTTCCCTTTGCAAACAAAGCTTTCTACGAAGTGACATACCAGACACCACCCCACCCTCTTTACCTGATCTTCTCCCTGCCCTTCCTTTCCACTGCGCACTCCCCTTTTAAAAAATGTAATCGGAGGTCGCGGCAGACTTTCTCCTCCCCTTTAACATCCGCTTCTCCCTTTGCCGGAAGGGGTAATGCTGGTCGGTGATACAGGAAGCGGATGAAGCTGGAACGCTCTTCTAGCCGAGAGCCCAGCGCACGAGGGGGGCCGGCTGGGGGTTGGAGGGGAGAGGTTCAGGCGGGTCTTTTCGCCGGAGGCGCAATAGTGCGGGCAGAGGAAAGGTGCGGCGCGGCGGATTTATGGCTTGGAGCAGAAGGATCCGGGGCTGAGCGCCCTGCCCGTCCATGGAACTCGCGCCGGTGGCGGTAGCAGTCATAGCGGCCACTCAAGGGGCGCCGGGAGAAGGCAGGGGAGCGGTGGAGACGCCGCCGGTTATCTACACGATGG